AAAAAAAAAAAAAAAAAAGTATGACCTTCTCCAAGCTGACTGTCACATAAGAATTAATGGGAACTATTGGTGAATTTATAATAATTGGAAGAAAAAGCCGACAGCACGTCAGTTAGACTTTAGGAAATCTTTTCGCCCTCTGTATTATTGAGGCGTGTAATTCTACAAATGGTTTTGATGAAATAATGAGTGATTACTCTTTTTTTACCTACAGACCTTTCTCTTTAAGGCTCACCATCTTTTACCTGATAGCTCCAGATTAAGAGTGAGTGATTACAGAAGGGAGGAAGGGGGAGATTATTGGAAAATGTTAAAGGCAGTGTGTGTATACCTACAGAGAGGCCAGGCCAAGTTTGCCAGAGATGAACTACTGCAAATGTGCAACTTCCGGCTGGCCACTCACAGGGAGAACTAAATTCTGCCCTCCGTTAGATTTATGCAACCCTGTGGATTACACTGTCCGGCCCCTGTCTGTCTCCTGGTCTGCTTTAGTACTTTCCCACCCAGCTGGCTTAGGAAGGAGGACTTCACAGTTATAAGGTTAATTTTAGCTAAAACTTAAACCACCTTTTCAATAAATCGGTATCGGATTGTCACCCTTGGCATAGAAATTCTAGATTAGTTGCACAAAAGCCTCAGCATAATTCAGCTGCACATGCATTGACTTGGGCCTGTTTTTTAAATTAAGACTTGCAGAAAGGGCTTGATTTTACCGTCGGCTCCTAATTTGATTTCCGAGCAGCGTTCGATTTAAAACCTGATGGCAGGATAAAGTTTCAGCTTTTTAACTTCCTGCTAGTCCTGCCTTTTCTGCACATCCAGAGCTGCATTTGCGTGTGCTTCCGAGAGCCCTCTTCTTGTCTGACTGCTGGAGGCAGGCATGCTCGCTCTCGGGAAAAGCTCCTGCTCTGCTTCGCCCGTGCTCTTGGGTTTGTGTTTACTAAGATGATCGGCTCCTGGAGACAGGGACCACAGCTCTGTGTCTCAGTCTGTTGTGCTACGCCGAATAATACCAATAATAAGGGCCAAATCCTACCTGCCTTTTAAAGGCTGAAAGGGTCCTGCCAGGGCAGAGGAAGAATGATGGGGGAGAAGAAATGCCACCAGGCAGATAAAGGCTTGAGGGGCTAGGGGTGAGACCTCAGCGTGTACCTATGCTGATCTGTCAGACCTTGATCTCTCCAGAGACTTCATACCTCAGGTACCCAGTTATACGCACATACTGATTTCTGTGGGGCAGAGTTGGTTCCTGCATCCTTCAGGTTAGACCCATTTTAACCTGTCACATTCTTGCTATCAGGAGAAAGCTGGAATGAAAGAAACCTGACACTAATGCACCGTCCCAGAACGGCTCCGCTCGGTCCCCATATGTTTCAGAGGGGAGCTCCGAGTCCTGTCCCTAATCTGCTGTCTTGTTGTAGGACTGGGAGCTACCTGCACAGTGAGGCACATCCCCCCCCCAATTGCAGCTTTGCCTCCCAGGCGTTGGGGAATGGTTCTGGTCTTTGACGCTGGTAGAGGGGGCGCTGGGAGGTGTGTACGGACCCCAGTTGGGAACTCCTCCCAGAAGAGCGCATTCAGGTCCGAGCACAAGGCGCACCTTAACCTCCCCAGGCACGATGCCCATCATTAAGGACAAAGCAGCAAAACTCCCCTGTCGGTATAAATTCCCGTTCCTCTGCAACCCTGGGGAGAAGAGAGAAACACACCATTTGTTCTGGACTCTCTGTTTCAGCATAATTTTGTTCAGTGCTTACATGATAACGTGATAGGTGTCTTAAAATATCTTGGACAGAAGCCAGCTGGAGAGCAGCGACTGCTGATTCATGAGTCGATGTGGGGGTAAGATTCCTTCAGCCACGTTACTGCCTGTGACCGCTCAGTCTCTGCATTGGTCTCGCTCTTCGGTCCCCAATTGTTGCAGCTTCCTATTGGCATACTCAGTGCTGTCTAAGCATCAGTCCCTTTCCCAGCATTGAGAAAGGGGCAGACAGGACAGCAACATACCTGCATATATGTTCATACTGATGCAATAGAAACAGGAGGCCAGGTGCCAAATGGAAATTTGACAGCCTTTTGGTGGATTCTCACCTCTATTATGCTGTGAATGAAAGCAGGGGTTTGCATTCCTGCTGCAGAGAGCTCAGTTTAAACCAAAACCACAACATTTTGGACTCTAAAGTTGGTCCTTTCTGGGCTAGGGAGCCTGCTTTGCATTTTTGTACTGCAGCTCCGACTGTGTCACTTGGCCTTTCAGAACCCAAACCAGGAGTTAGCGGAAAGCCACGCTTTATCCGCGCACTAGTCAAGGGAAGTCTAGCCCCTTGAAGTGACAGTTTTTGGCACAGAGCACTTGTCTTTGTGATGGCTTCTGACGCATCTCCAGGCCCTTGCAGTTTTCATTATGTTGTCCTGCTTTGTTTGAAGCCGCTGCACCCTATTTTAATCTGCTGTGAATTCTCCAGTTTGTGTGTTCTCATATTTGAGCAGGGCCCAGGATCAGGGCTCCCCTGCTTGCAGCGCAGTACGAATTGGGAGTGATAAGTTCTCGTCCTGGGGAGTTGCATAGTCTAATTTCAGGGTATGGGGGAAGAATCCTGCTGCAAGGAGAGGACAGGGCTCGGGGTTCAAGCTGGGGTCCTGTCCCTGCCATGGACACAAACTTGCTTTTGGATTCTGGACAAGTTGCTTCACTTCTGTCCCTCGCTCTGTGGGTTGGGGACGATTCCTACCTTGCAAGAGTGTCGAGTGGCTAGATGTTGTCTTGGTTTCAAAGCACTTTGAGATCTTCTACAGGAGATGCTCTTCACCTGGGAGACGCCATGTGCTGTAGTGTGGTGTGTTCACTGAAGCGCTGATTTCTTTTAAAACTTCTCATTTTACCCTGTTATTTAAGCTCCCATCACAACTGGAAACCTTGCTCCCTCTCCCCTTGCTTTCTTTCACAAAGGGACACTGGCCAGGTCACCCCTGCTGCCTAAGCTTGTTGTTTCTTTTGGACGCTAGTCTTGATTTTTCCTACTGCCGTTGTTTAAACGCAACCTGAAACCCGTTCGTGTTTGAACGTGCTGGTTGAAATCTTTGCCATGAGTTTCCCAGCCTCCTCCAGATGCGACTTGGCAAGACAAATTTAAATATTGCAATTATAAACTTGTAGGGAAGTGTTGTACTTCATTAATGTAAGAGCTGGAATCTGCTCGGAGGTACAAGGACAATTAAATATTAGAGAATGTCTTTGATTTACATTCCTGCTGTGTAAATGTAAGGAAGGTTGCTGTATTCTCTCTGCTTTCACTCTCACAAAATGAAAAGCACACCCAGTGCAAGTTGTCCTTTGATAGATTTTTAATATGATTTTAAAGAGTTTTGTTTGGCCTCATTCTTATTCAATGAGATTAATTCAAAGCACTTATCCCCCGGGTTTAAGTCAATCCATGTAGGCTTTTTGGCCTGGGTGTGTTGTATGGGGGGTTCTGTTTGCATGCCGCTCTGAGAGACTCCTTTCCCACTTCATTAACCCTGAGCTGGGGACAATCCTCCCCCAAGCCAGAGCCCCGGATTTACCAAACTCCACCATTCACATGCAAAGAAACAGCGCCAGTCACAAAGGCAAGGGGGCCGCTGGACTTAATTAGCTGCTGTGCATTTTGCAGAATTAGAATCAGGCCAGCATCCTGTCTTGGAGGATTTAAACACGCTCCCCCCACCCCCCGGTAGGTGCAGGGTCAGGCCCAAGGCTTGCCCTCTTGCAGGCTCTGACGTTTGGGGGGTCATCACTTGGAAATCTTCGCCTTCACCAAGAAAAGCCCTTCCCTAGATCCCTTGGGGGCGGGGGGTGGAGGAATGGAATTGCCTTGCACTGGGGTAGTTTCAGGGGCTGGGCCTTCCTTCGCCATGGGCCAAAGGAAGAGAAGAGGCAGGTCTTTACCCTGCTGTGTGGCTCCTGGAGCTGGGAAAGGGGGGTCCAGGTGGGCTCTATCCTGGCTCCTTAGAGGAGGGCTGGGAGCACCTGGATGCGAGAGGGGCCAGAAGCCAGAGGCTGGCGGTGGGTCCCTTGCAGAGCTGCGGGGAGGGAGAGGAGGGGGGGTCCCATTCCAGCCTGGCCCACATGTTGCAGAGGGGACGGGCGGAGGCGTGGGGCCGCTGGGAGGGGAGTTGGGGGGGGCTAAGCCTCGCAGCCCATCTGTCAGCTCCCTGAGCTGGCCGCCGCTCCCAGGCTGTCCCGGTGACCAGCTG